GTATATATATATATATATATATATATATATATATATATATAGTTTACATCTGCATTTAAATATTCTACAATTCAAATGCCATAACAATAGTAAAGCATCACAAAAAAATTAAACTAAATTAATAAACCAAAATTGTATTTGTAAATATAAATTTTATTCATAAAAAATTTATTATAATCCAATCCAAGGTTGCATCATAAACATGGAAAAAAGCTAAAAGCCTATTAGGATATGATTATCAACTCAACTCTTAAAATGTGAAACGAAACTAAACTACATCTAGAACAGAAGAACTCTTTAATCTCAGGAGTTAACAAATACAAAAAGACCTAACCCAACATTAAACTTAAGCCTACTAGAGCATACCGCTAATTTCAGGGGAAAGCAGTTATTACACCAACAGAAATAAGAATACATACAAGATGAAGTCACACAACTACAATTATTTACATTTAACAAACATCACAAATTGAAGCCGTCAATGCGAATAAAAATCTAACAAATAAATAATATAGATTGCACTATAATCAGATTTGACTACTAACCATGCATGGATTTGACAAAACGATCAAACTCAGAGAAAAATGATGCCCTTTGTATCAAAGAAGGAGACATTCTTTGATATGCAAAGGAAGAAAGGTGGTGGCGATCTGGATCATTTCTCGGCTTTGCAGTTTCTAGGATCCTATTGAAGCCTTCCCTATCATAACATGGGACTGCATTCTGACTGGCAATATTCATTTTCTGATCCCATGCTGCATTCAGAACCTGAGAGAGAGAGAGAGAGAGAGAGAGAGAGAGAGAGAGAGAGAGCATGTTCACATACAAAGAAAAATAAAACTATATCTTCTTTTTTTAACGTTAAATACAACTATATCATTGATATGCTATAACAATACCATATTTTTTATTATTGTAACCTTTGTCATTTACATTAATACTTAAATGAAATGCAAAAAATGCATTATTTTATAAGCCACCGGTGTGACCATAATTTGGTGGTGGAGGAAATATCTCCTAATAAAAATGGTATAAAGAACCATGATGCTAAGTGTCAATAATATCTCGTGTTATTTTATTTTCCGTTAGCCAAGTGAACTCCCAAAAAATGAAGTTTTTTACCAAATTTAGAACCAATGGGATTATGGTACTATTTTTTTGAAACGAACATTGATTCATTTGCCTCCACAAGAACAGAAAATGCTATTTATCTAGATGACAGTTTTTACCTGCCAAGTCAAGCCTTCTGGATCTGCCATTGTCTCATCATTATCCTGAGGAGTTAACTGCAATCCTGAGAATATAAACCTGAATGTTGCAGAATGCTTCTTGAGAATATTTAGAATCAGAGTATACCCCTCCTGATTTGAGGGGTTATAGAAGCCTGCTGTAAGTTCTGCTGCATGGCTGGCAGTCCTATACCACCAATATACAGCTGGAATCTGCACATAACACAATAAGCTATTACCAAAACCTTGTAAAAACTCATTTCAAGTATTAAGAGATCATGATAAAGAGAGAGAGAGAGAGAGATGTAAACCTTCTCGAAAGTAAATATGTAATGAATTTAAAACTGGCATAGTTGGACAAAGGAATCTACCAGAAAGGTGGATGCTTTTTTCCATGAAGACAAAAGACTCGTGCCTACAACATCATAAACACCCATGGCCACAAAATACAAACATGCAAGCACATGAGTAATAAAAGTCCCTTCTATATAACCGCCCATGCCCACCAAACACATGAGTGTTGAAGGTCCCACCCTCCCTCCACCCTTCAAATCCAGGCAAAATCCTCCCTGCCCATTTTTTGAAACTTCCCTCTCTCTCTCT